CCCAGCCACCCCGACCCCCAACCCAAGGGGTCCCCGACTCGCACTTCTGGCTCCCGAGGGGTGGGGCGGGGCCGCGCGGGACCTCGGCCCCGGAGTCCCCATCCTGTCCTACTCCAGCCCAGACCTTCGCTGTCCACACCTCGTGCCAAGCGGGAGGGTCCCGACCTCATTCCTGGACCTCCCCACCTGCCGCCCGAGGAGGAGAGAGGCAGGCCCCGCGGCGCTGGTGTGAAGAAGTTAATTCAATTCTCCGGGATAACCGAGTTATCCGGCCCCTCAGCCCGCCCTCGGCGAGGTCCCGTCCCGGCAGGGACGCGGATGATCTGGAGGGGGACGGACGCGAGGACAGACTGGGACGGGGAGGGGAAGTGGGTACAGAGAGGAGGCAGAGACGGAGACAGGGCGAGGAAAGGAGGACGCCGTGGTGGAGACGGGCCCTGGAAGATGCAAGTACAGATGGGGACGAGGACGAAACATGTGCAAGAGAATGGGGAAGGACAAGGGGACAGGCAGGGACAGAGAGGCAGATGGGCACAGAGGGAGCCGGAGGAAGAGTGTGAGGCGGGGAGGGAGACAGAGAAGGGCTGGGGTGGGGGTGGGGACGAGGCCTGGACGGCAGTAGTGGCTGCGATGCGGAGCGGGAGAGAGAGGAGACAAAACACGGACAGTCGCCGCGAGACAGACACACTCAGGGGGCGGTCTCAGAGCGACAAGGCCGGGAACTGACAGCGAGGAGCACAGGCTGAGGGCGGAGGGAAAGAGCCTGCAGGGAGCTGCGACCCCGCAGGCGGCTGTGCCCAGAGGGCCGCGGCAGGGTAGCCCACAGGCTCGGAGGGGAGGTCGCGGCCGAGGTCTCTCCATCCTGACTTGTCCCCACGGCCGCCCGAGCCTGCACCTTCAGGTCCCCACGGCCTCTGCTTTCCCTCTGCTCTGGGTGTGACCTTTGGCCCAGGCTGTGTGTATGATGGGTGTGCTTGGGGAGTAACCTAGAACTTCCTTTCCTCTCCTGCAGCCCTACCTTTCTCCTCCCGAATCCCCTTTTCTTCTCCAGGAAGACCAGGGAGGCTCAGCCTGCTGCTGGCTACAGAGGTCGGTCAATGGATGGTCACCAGCTCTCCATGCTGTCGACAAGGAAACACACAGTCCTTCCCAAGAGAGTGAACAGAAACCTCTTCTGCCTCTGCAGCCCACCGGAGGGATGAGACCAGCGGGTTCTGCCAGGCCCCAGCCTTCTTTCTACACCAGAATATTCTCCCTCTGAGGAACTAGGAGAGGGGCAGCCTTTCTCACCAGCCTGAGTCCTCAGGGTTGAGAGAAGGACTCTCGGAATTCCTGTCCCAAGTTCACCAGCACAGTGGGGTGCATGTCCCTCCTCAGGTCATCTGTTGCCCTGGCCACTTTTGCTTGACACACAGGACTAGCTGTCCTCAATTTCTGTAAGTACTCCATGTCAGAGGATTTCTTTGAGGTATTTTCCCAAATTAATTTTTAACCATTTTTTTTGTTGTGGTAAAATATACATAAACATTAAATTAGCTGGGCGTGGCGGGGCACACCTGAGTGCGCTTGAGCGTTTTTTGTGGCTGATTTATTTCTCCTTGTATGAAATCCTCAAGTGTGACCCATGTAGCATCTGTCAGGATTTCTTTCCTTTTAAAGGCTGAATAATATTCAATGGTATGTATATATCCCCTTTTCTTTGTCCATTCTTCCACTGATAGACACTTATTTGCTTCCATGTTTCTGCTACTGTGAATAATGCTGCTATGGGTCTGGAGACGCTAGGATCTCCTGGGGACTCTGTTTCAATTCCTTTGGGTATAGACCCAAAAGTAGAGTTGCTGCATCATATTGTAACTCTACAGTATTTTTTTTTTTTTCACCAGGGATCAAACTCAGGTCCCTGCAATTGCGAGGCAGGCGCTGGAACCACTGAGCTAAATCCCCAGCCCTTACAGGATTTTTATTATTTGAGGAACTACTGTACTATTTCCTTCAGTGGCTGTGCCACTTTATACTCCCCAGCAGTGTACAAGGTTTCTAGTTTTCCATATCCCTAACAACACTTGTTATTTTCTACATTTCTCAAATTGTGTTTCAGGTCTAAACTTGTAGGGGTTGAGACCTGACAATTCAAATGATTCAACAGTTCTTTCCGCTGGTTGTGTGAGGTGCATTGTTCTTCTCAGACACATCTGCGGGAAGCCCAGGGGATCTCAGAATTGGGGGATTAGATGGGTCCACATTATCCTAGACCTTTCAGTGGGTCTCCATTGCCCACATGATCAAATCCAGGCTCCTTCTCTGGCCTGCAATGTAATCAGCCTGCTTTTCCCTCATCTTGGCTTTTCTTCTTTCTTTCTTTCTTTTTGATAGGGTCTTGATAGGTGGCCCAGGGTAACCTCCAACTCTCAATCCTCTTGTCTCTGCCTCCCAAGTGTTGAGATTATGGGTGTGCACCACCAGCCACCGTGCCTGGTGTCGTCTTGGCTTTCTTTGCAGCCTTCATGTACTCAGTAATCTTTTTGTTCAGAGGTGTTCTCTCTGGATGGAATGCTCACCCCATTCTCTGTGTTCTGTCCCCTCCCCCTAATACCTAAGCATGGTATTATTTAGCCATTGCCTCAACTTGGACCTGCTTTTTAGAAGCCTTTCTTGATGTCCCTAGACAATGGATGTCCCTGCTGTATCCTCTAGTACCTCTCTCTCTTTTGGTACTCAGGTTACCTTGCTAAGTGCAAGGACTTAGGACAGAACTGTGTGCTGTTGTCACTTTCTCCTCCGGCTTACCATGGTACCTGGCACACCCTAGACTTCTGGTATCTATTTTCCAAATAAGTGAATAGTAGACTCTCTAAATAAGTGAATAGTAGAAATCTCTGCACTGAAGAGTCCTACCCTTGCTTCCAGGGAAGGATTCCTCAAACCTGACTCCTATCCACCATTCCCTGAAGAGGAATAACTCTCCCCCTTCATCCTTCCACTCCCCAGTAACAGGAAACTTCCTCCTTAGTGGGTCATCCTCTGGCTGGAAAGAGTCCTCCTTCATCTGAGGAATTTGCATGTGGCCTTATCCCTTCCCCAGTGACAGTGCTGACCAGCAGTAGGGGCACTTGAAACTTTCATGGAGGGACAGGCAAGGGTAGGCTGGGGAGGAAAAGAGGCCCATTGCTGCTTCTGGTCCTGGTTCCCACTGTCTCTGAGACCAGCGTCTGGCCATGTCATTCCTACAGTTTGGTCCTTGAGCCAGTAAATTGCCTTCTGTCTAAACTGCTTTTATTTTATTTTATTATTTATTTATTTCTTGGTAGCGGGGATCGAACTCAGGTCCTTGTGCTTGTGAGGCAGGCAGCATAAACTGCTTTTAGGTGGTCCTCTGCCAGTTGCAATCAAGGGTCTTGAACAATACAATCTTTAAAGGCTTGACATCCTTACAGGAGAGCAAATAGTGGTGCTTAGAAGTTTCGCTGTGAAATGCACGTGATGGTGTGACAGAGTAGGCTGGGCAGGAGCTGGCCTTCTCATGCCTCAGGACTGTGGATGGTGGAGTGTCTTCGTATTCTTCTTCATGTTTAATCTAGTTCAAGTTGGATTTCTGTCAGTCCCAAACAAAGGACTCCCCACAAACAATTGTTGTAAGGTGTGTAATGTGCAGGCAGCCATTTTTACTTGCCTATTGGCGTAAGAGATGAGAAGCAGCCCAAGATGGCGGCGGTGGGGGGGGCGGGTAAGGTGGCTTCCTGAGAACTCACCGTAAGAGAAGACGATGGGCAGAGGGGGGCAGAGTCTGCAAGGACCCCACACCAGAGAGGCTGGTTGAGTCTGTGGTGGGGAGACCTTCGTCCTGATCATGACCCCCCCAAGATGTGTGTAATCCCGAGGGAACTAAAAATGCTTTGGCCTGAAACACTGTCACAGCTATCTTGCTCAGAAGCCTTCTGGCCGGTTATGGCATCTTCACCTCCGGGAGCCATGATGTGTTCTAGAGCCTGACTGCGGAGTCCGGCTCTGACTGTGCCATCCCGAGCTGTACGCTTAGGATGCGTTACTCAACCTCTCTGTGCTTCAGTTTTCTCATCTGTAAATGGGCTATTTAAATGACTAGAGAAATGAAAACATATAGTGTCTGAATTAATGCCTGGTACACAGCGAACATTAACTAAATTAGCTTTTACCTTCATTACCGCTATCGCTTCTCACTCTTACCAAGTGACTGGGCACAGCATAGCTGACAGACCCAGATCTGGCCAGATGGTGGTGTTCCTAGTTCCGGCTATTTCTGAGACATCTTTACTCCTCTTTTCAAGTTAGTTGTTCAGCTCTTAATTGGATTTTATTACCCAACACATTCTTCTGTATGTTTAATCTAGTTCAAGTTGGGTTATACCAGTTCCAAACAAAGAAATCCACATAAACATTTGGTGTGAGGTGTGTAGTGATACAAATGGCACGACCCAAGACACGGAACTGTCCCTGTTGGCACTGGGAATGGATGCATGAGAACCCCTCCAATCCACTCTAGGAAATGAGGCATCCTGCTCAGGCGTTAACGAGGCCTTTGGGAGAATTACTGAATGTCTATTTGAGCTTGACCTCAACCTTCTTACTGCAGTCCTGTCCTGTGATGCCAACTTCAGAGGATTAAAGTGGGAAATGGTAAGGTATCGGAGTGCATCGCCTATGTTTGGTAACCTCAGAAAGGGGCTTCGCGAGAGGGACAAGCAAATGAGAA